CCGGCACGGCCCGCGCGGGGACGGACAGGCGGACAGATGAATGGCGTCAGCGCCGCGCAGAGCCCGCAAAGGGCAGGCAGGTACGTGCGGCGGGGCGCCCGCACCCGCACCAGTGCCTGCCTCTCAGTACAGGCAGGTGGGCAAATACATGCGTGTATGTGTGTGTGTGTACGAATGCACATGGCTGCATGACTGCCAATATATATGCATGACTGCAAATGAACGCCCGCCCCTATTTATGCAAATATCAGCATGACTGCCAATATATGGGCGAATGCAAATGAGCGCACGCCTCTATTTATGCAAGTGCATGCATGGCTACCAATGTATGGACGAATGCAAATGTACGCACGCCTCTAAGTATGCAAATGTATGCACGACTGCCAGTAGATGAATGCAAATGAACACACGCCTCTATTTTTGCAAAGGTATGCATGATTGACAGTATATGGACGAATGCAAATGATGCCCGCCTCTATTTATGCAAATATATGGACGCATGCAACTGAACGCCCGCCTCTATTTATGCAAGTGTATGCACGACTGCCAATAGATGAATGCAAATGAACGCCCGCCTCTATTTATGCAAATATATGCATGACTGCCAATATATGGATGAATGCAAATAAATGCCCGCCTCTATTTATGCAAATGTATGCACGACCGCCAATATATGGATTAATGCAAAGCAATGTATGCTTGTATGTATGCGAGTGAATGCATGATGTCAATATATGCATGAATGCAAATGAAGGCACCCCAGTCGGTCTAATAAGAAGTATCATCTCTGAGCCAAGAGTTCTGGGTTTTTGCCATTCATGCCAATATATGCACGAATGCACATAAATACACGCTCGTCTGTATGCAAATGAATGCATGAAGGTCAATATTTGCATGATGCAAATCAGTGCATTCTCGTATGTACGCAAATGTATGCGGGAATGCCAAGATATGCATGCATGCAAATGAATCCATGCCTGCATGCATGCAAATGAATGAATGATGCCAATATATGCATATATGCAAATGAACGCATGCCTCTATGTATGCAAAGGCATGCCTGGATGCCAATACATGCATGAATGTCAATAGATCCATGCATGTGTGCGTGCCAATAAATTCATGAATGGCAATATATGCATTTATGCAAATGAAGATATGCCTGAATTGATGCGAATGAATGCATGAATGCCAATACACGCAAGATACAAATCAATGCATGCCTGTATGTCTGCAAACAATATATGCACGCTCGCACGTATACAAATGTATGCATGCATGCCAAGATACGCTTAATGCATGCGTGCGTGCCCGTATGCAAAGCACCCCGCTGCCTGCACTCGGGCCCCGGCCTGTATTGTACTCCCCCCCCCAGCGAGCGCAGAGGCGGTGACAGGAACAGACTGACGTCACCACCAGCCCCGCCCCTAACGTGCGTGCCTACATGCGTCGGCGCCGCTGATTGGCTCCCCCCGCCCCTCTC